TTTTTATGTCTGTTGCCACTTTTTCTCAGCTCTCACTGGACCGATTTCTTTTATCAATACGTCAAAAGATCACAAATCGTATCTAGTTGAAGACATTACCATTAAAAATTGAAAAATTTTCCTTCGTTCCCCGCAAATGGGGGAAATATCCAAAAAAATTACAAATTTAAAAATCGGTAAATTTTATCATATTTTTCACTTTTTTTTTCTTAAAACTTCCATAACTTTTTCAAAAATAAACAAACCAACATAATTTTTTTTTATACTACAACCTTAAATATTTCCCTTTCATTTGATATCATTTTTTTGAAAATTTAACACTTATTCTGCTCACAAGGGCGATTTAAAATAGTAACTTTTTTACAAAAACTAACTTTTTCAACTTAATTTTTGAAAATGTTCCGGAAATACTGCGTCCTTTAAACATATGTCAAATTAAAGCTTATTTCATGTACTATAAAATGAAAAAGAATAATTTGTCTCGACGACCTATCTTCTATGCGCAAATGGCTACCGTATTCAATAATATGCTATTTTTTTATTAATATTCTAGGTTTTGTATTATATTTTATTTTAAAATATCTTATTAGGAGAATATATTGACTTTAATGAATATTATATAATTTAATTGACATAAAATAAAGTTCATAAGACATAAGTAATGAAACTTATTAAATTTTTTTGACTTTTTTAAAGCCGAAAATGTAATTTTTAAATTTGAGTTATCTTAAATAGCCAATTTTAGCTTCGATGCGAATTTTTTATATTTTAATACTAATTTTTAATAATATTAAAACTTAGAAGTGATAGAAAATGTCTAATTGCAGATTTGAAAAACATCGCGAAAAGTTGATTTAGAATGGTATATTTTTGTTACTGAAGAAAGTTCCTTGTAGTTCAGTGCATTTATTTATAGTAACAAACAGTTTTTATTTTGGAATAATCCACCAATTTCTCTAAATGAAACACTGTCTACAGATTTGCATCGAAGCGTTCCTTATGATAGTGATTTTAATCACTGTCAAATATCATCTATACTTGTCCCATCTATGCTTTGTCTACGCTGTGCCTCGACCCCACTGTGCTACCGTTTTTATACTAATTCGATTTTTTTGTTTCTTAAATGTATACATTTCAAATATATTTCAAAGTTTTTACTGTGTATTTTTGTCATTTTTTTTAAAATATAAAAATGTTAATTTTGGATTATATTTATAAGTACAATTGATTAGCAAGTTTGCAAGTCGATCGATCTTATTTCGTGAAAAAATAATCACTTAATTATAACAATATTTTAGAATAATATTTATTATTATATAAAATATTTAATTTTTTAGTAGAGAATCATAATTTTTAAATAAAACTAATATCTGTACGTTTTAAAAAACATATATTGAATTTTCAGAGAAAATTTTAATGTACTAAAACAGAATATATTATACATATATGCAAATTTTGTGATGTTAGTAGTATTTCTAAACGGCGTATGTTATCCAGATAAAATAGCTCTAGGCTACTTATACACGTCATATTTATTTTTTTCGAAAGGTCCTAAATTTTATTTACAGCTATATTCCAACATTATAAATTTGTAAGTATATCTGATTTCAAAAATAAAATAAATTTAATGTAATGAATACTAATAGAATAGCATTATTCTTTTTACATTTTATGAAATATTTTATAAGTTTTATCGTTTTTAAATGATTACACTTCATTTTCAACAATAGCAAGCAAATTATTCAATAAATTAAAATTAGTCTAACAGTATTAAAAACTATCTATGCACTTATAGAGAAGTCTTTAATAAAATGTTGTTCGCCTATTTAAAGTTAGTTTATTTTGATAATTATGAATGTTTTTCTATGTTATAGTTGGTTTGGTCTTTGGTATTATACCATATCTGTAATAATTTGTAAAGTTTTCTATGTGATTTTTATTTGTAAATTTCTAATCAATCAACAATGGCTCACCAAACATTTGAAATTTTTAATGATACTATTCTGCAATCATAACAATAATTCCACTTTTAGTAAGAAAAAAAATTCTAAGGAATCAAAGATACAAAACATTTACTTAAACATTATTTAAATTAAGATCGGGAATTGAGCACTTTATCAAATACTCATCATCAAGGCATTGAATTACAATGGGATGTGTTATTATTTGTACTATTACTTTTTCAAATTCGCGTAGTAAAAAGTAGTAATATTAAAATGATGATCGACGATATAAAAATTTCAAGAGTATTGGCTCATATAATAGCAAAGTTAGGAGATAAATTTAGATTAGGAAGAGAAGATAATTATCACTTGAACAAATTAACATACTTAGAAAAAGTTAAAAAGAAATTGATAGTTCTGAAAAATCTCCAAAATAAATCCGTAAAACGTGAAGAAAGTCATTTTTTAGGTAAAACATTTTTTCTTTAAGTTTATTCCAGTTTTAATTGTTTATAATTATTTCTTATAAAAAATAAATACTTGTAACTATATATTAATTACTTATAATTTATTATATAAACCTATTAAATTGATAGCATGTTTAAGTGGGGAGTATATGTTTCAAGATATATTTGATGATGTACATTTAGTTTGTCCAATAAATTCTGATAATTATGAATTATGGCCAGGAGATAATTCTGAAAAAAAAATTGGAAAAATGGTTTATAGATATTATATTGCATGTATACTGTACTTAGTAAAAAAACTTAATAAGGTATCTGAAACTCACCGAAAGACAATGCAAATATTTGAAAAAAGTAGAAAGAAATTATTGGTATAAATTATATTAAGCAATAGAATTATTGCAACTATAATCACAATTAACTTTTCAAGGTAACATCAGACATTAATTTACTTGGTGAACATACAGGTCCTTCAAAGCTATGGAGGCCATTTCCTAACACATTATTTGATGATAATTTTATCAGGTTGGGTTTACTAATTATAAAATTAGTATAAAATTTTTCAACATAAGATTAAAATTAAAAATCTATCTTCTATAGTTTTATATTTTTATCTTTCTAAGTCATAAATTTAAAATAAATATAATGTAGGTAAATAATTAAATCAAGATTTAAATTTAAATATTTTATTCAGTAAATTCATATTGTTAAAAAATTTTTAACATTATATACACAAAATCATAACAATTTCCAGAATTTTTTATATTCAAATTTTATAGGGTAATCACCCATCATTCATTAGAGAAATAATTAGCCGAGTGTTTAAAAAAATTAAGATTTTAAAAAGAAAAGATATGTCAATCATGAAATTTTCCAACAATCGTTACAGTACCGTTACCTAATTTTATTTGTATTATAAATGCTCATTCAATGAAACTATACATTACTAAATGTTTTTTAATGAACCAAATAGAATAAGATATTACTTATTGTATTGGGCTTTTTCTGTGGTTTATAATGTTTTTGAAGTTATAGTTACATTACAATATTTTAATTTTAAAAGAACAACAGTTCAATAACTGGTGGTAGCTTGGCCTAGTGGGTAGAAATGTATGTTTCGGCATACGGACTCCCGAAATTCAATCTCTAGGATGTCAACGAGATTTTTCTTGTGATTTTCTCATTGGTAATGTCTGGTCTCTGGTGCAAGTCAGCCATAATACCCGTCCCATCCATCAATGGTTTAAATAAAAATCATCTTTGACTCCCTAACATGTGAAAGAGGGCCACCAGCCTCTATAACATATTAAGTTCGGGAAATAAAATGATGTAAAACTGATTATTTTGTTTCAATAACATATCAATAACTAAGTTTAAATGGGAGTAAAAAGAAAAATTCTAGAAAATTTAACTCGTTAATTTTATAACTTCAGGCTCTTGTTGCAAATTTTCTCTACATTTGAGAGAGAATAATATTGCAAGTAGTGTTTCTAAACCTTAAACTGAGTTAGGCTAATTAACAATTAATTGAAATCTAATAATTAATATTTTTAATATACTATTAAATTATTCTGTTATTTAATTTTCTTTTTTTCTTTTTTAGTTTTGATGATTTTGACAATAATGTAAATAAACATAGACATTGGTTTATTCAATTTATTGTAGCATTAAGAGATGCTATAATATCGTGTTCTGACTTACTTTGTTATTTTGCAGCATTTATATACACAACCGTCAATTTATATGATTATATCTCTATTACACTTTTAGTCGTAATGATATTTTGGGGATTGTTATCAGTCCCAAGAGAAAGTAAAAATTTCTGGGTGGTACTTATTATGTATATGCAGGTAATAATTTTAAATTAAAATGTCAAAAAAATTACAGAAAAAGTGTAAAATGATTCTTTTCTTTCAATCAAGTTATTTCCTAAGTACAATTACTTACATTGCTGTTGTTCTAATTTTAAAAATAAACAAAAAGTCAAACAATTCATTTCATATAACAAGTATAAAATACTAAATACCAGAGTCCCTCTTATTCTGTAGTTAACACTGGGCTAGAAAAATTTTCCTTTTCTAAACGCAAAACTTCTTTACGTAGAACTTAAGACACATGTACTTTGAAATAATGAAGGATGAAAGGAAAAAAAATTTAAATAAAAACTTAATCGTAAATATTTTTCTAATATTGATAAAACAGTTATTTATCTTTATTGTAATCAATTTACACGTTAACTTTTTGACTATTTTATGTTTTTTTGACGCGTTCCTTTGTTTGTATAACTTAATTAATGTATATTAATTATTAGGGTGCAATATTGTTAAAACATTTTTGTAATATATCCTATTTACCTTGGATTGAAGAACAGTCAAGATTAGTAAATGGTTCAATGGGTGGCAACCTTATGTTCTATCCTACAATTAAAATTGGAGTAGCCAATTACAAAAATACATTTTATGTAGATTTGATAGTATTACTATTTTTATACATTCATAGGTAATTTTTATTGATTATTTTTTTCAAAGTCAGTCATATATTTTTGCATACTGAATGTGTAGAGCTAAATTAATGAAAATTGGACTCTGGATACAAAATGACAATTTAACTAATATACGTATAAAAATATCACCACTAGACGAAAATAGATTGTTGAAATCTATCAGATTGTTTTGTGAGATGTTAGTCAAAATAATTATTTTAATGAACGTATTTTAATATTAATAAAAAAATAATGTTACAGTATTAAAATACATTTCAGTCCTATGATAAACTTTTCAAATGATCTTTATCGGAATCACATGGTTAAAAGCGTAGATGTTTATCCTTATATGTTTTTGTTAATTGTTTTTTTGATGATCTTCAATTTAATTATATGGCATGTGTGTAAATTTCTCAATATTATGGTTTAAAAATAAAAATATATTTATAATTTTTAACTCTAATATTATGTAAAAATACTTGAATCAAATATAATATTTAACATAGTTTATTACTCTTTTAAGAAATTAATGTATACAATTATAGGATGCAGTAGAATCTGTCAAGCTAAGTAGAATTTCCAGTAAAATCATTTATGAAATTATAGTGCACTTCATTATGCTACTTTTAGATCGATGGTTTTATGTTCGACAAAATAAACTTGGCAAATTAATTTTTCATATGATTTTCACGACAAACTTCTTTTATGTACTAATTGAATTGTAAATTTTAATTTTAATTAGTTGCTCCAAAATTTTTCTGACTAAAAATAATTTTAGGGCAGATATGTTTGAGTATAATTATTTCGTATTATGGGCTACCATTGAATTTGTTTATATAATGCTTTCCGCTTATCAAATTCGTGCTGGATATTCTTCTAGAAATATTGGTTCATTTATTTGGCATCATTATAGCATATTAAATTTAATAATATTTAAAGTGTAAGTCAATGTTTTCTTAGTTAAAAACTACATAAAAAATAAATTATTTAATGTATCATGATTCTGTTTAGATTAAACTTAAATGAAAAGTACAATAAATAAACTGCAAAAATTCTAAATAATTAAATTTTTTGTCTATCTAATACGATCTGAATAATAATGAAGATTATTTAGAAATAAAAAGGCTCTAAGGCAGTTTTTTATTTTCATTAAAATTTCTTAGTAAATGGCGTAGTATAAGTAATCTGACTTTGTTGCATTCAGATCGGTAACTTCGGTCAAAATATAAAATACTGCAATGATGTACAAAAAAATCAATTTAAACTTAAAATTACTTCCAATAACTATGAAAATCTCGTTTCAATATTTTTATCTTAAAGACATATCAGAGGGTTTACCAATTTTTTTTTAATGAGATGATTTGTGTAATACATTTTTTCTTCGTATAATTGTTTTTATACTACTAGATATCAATAATTTTATAATAAAGCAGAATTTATGAGTATACAATTATTTCTTACTAATAGCTAAAAATATTTTAACTTTTAAAATGTGTCTATTATTATTTATCACTATTCTCAGGTACTACTATTGCCCATTTGTATACGAATTAAGATTGGTGTTTGATTGGATATGGACGGATTCTACATTAACCATGTCTGAATGGTTTAAAATGGAAGATATATTTGTACACATTTGTACTGTAAAGGTAATTTTTCAAAATTAGAAATGGATTTATAGGCAAATTTATCATTTTAATCTATTTAATTTTTTTCATTATTCAAATATTCGTACATTTATAATGTTAAATAAGGAAAAATATTGTAATTCTAGTGAAAAATAAATAAATTTAATTATTTTTATAATTTTATAGTTAATTTTTTGTTTTTTATTTTCTAAAATATTCATCAAAAATTTGTATAAATTGTTTGTAATATTTAAGAAAATAATTTACTCCGATTTTATTGTGTAAACATTTTATTTAATTCTTGGTAAATCAATATTTCTTAATTTTTTTTCTAATGTAATTAATTTTATTTAATTAAAGTGCATAAATCGATTGCGTTTTTTATTGGATAATCCTCGAGGAAAAAAAATTTCACGTATGACTAAAATTGTGTTTGGAGGATTAGTTGCCATAATAATCCTATCGGTGATAATATTTCCAATATTATGGTTCTCTTTACCTGAAGGTATACCTGATACTCCGAAACATGTAACCATGCATATAAGGTTTTATCGAGATACCACAATATTAACAACAAAATCTGCTGATATTTACAGGTAAAAAATTTTTAATTTTGGTGAGAAACTGAAGATATATCGCATTTTTTTTAAGTTCAAACCATAAACAGTTAAAAAACGCAAAATCTATATAAATTATTATGTATTTTTATGTTAAACATATTAAAATTATATTAGTAAAAGTAGTTGTTCGTACCATGAATATGATGAAGCATCTTAATTTTGAAAATTTGAATTATTATGTGTTTAAGATTTATGATTTTATTTTCCAAAGCCTAGATACATTGGATTTTGCTGCATTGAAAGAAGTGTATAAAAATCAATTATCCCACTTTTTAGATGGCTATCGATACAATGAAATCAGTTCAGTGAGTATAAAATTGGAATCATCTACAGCATGGTTTGTTACGCCGCATACATTTAACACTGTATTAAACAAATTACAAGATTCGAGTAAGTTTGAAAATTATTTTCCAGAAAATATTTTTTAGTCTTCTTATTTTCCTTTGTGTCATATTGTGGAATATGTTTATTGTATTATATGAACATGTTGTAGCCAAATAATGTCGGTGCATAACATGGTTAGTCATGTTACATGTTGCATTGTTTTTCGAACTCTTTCCGGCAAATAAGTGCACCCATTCTACAATAATATCTTACTAATATCTCTTTGTAAAAATAATACAATTGAGTTCATAACAAACTAATGGAACATGTTAATTCAAATTACTGTCTTTCAAATTAAAATAATAATAAAATCAAAAAATTAAAATTAAAAAAAAAAAATTTTACTTCGAAAAGTAGTGTCAATTGTGGATAAGATGAGAGAAAATAGACCTAGATGGTTTGGTCATGTTATGAGGAGAGAATAATCAGAAGCTGCAAGAACAGTTATAGAAATGAATGTTGAAGAAATCAGAGGTAGAGAAAGACCAAAAAAGAGATAGAGGGATGCTATCTAATGCAATATGGGGACAGCTGATATGAGCGTAGATGATGTGGGAGATCGTGTCAAGTGGAAGTTTAGGATAAGGGTGGCCAAATAGTTGGGATTAAGGCGAGGAAGAAGAAGAATAAATTCGAAAAATCTCTATACAATTTTAATTAAAATTCATACGTTTAAAATATAAAAAAAATTAACTTTTTTTATTAAAAATCTAAACATAATTGACATAAAAATTCAAATGAATGAAAAATGTGTATTTATATGAATGGTTGTTGAATAAATTAAATTGAGTTTTTTTAAGAAAAATTATTGTGAATTTAAGCTTATTGTCGAATAAAATTTAACTATATTTTTTAATATTGTATAGAAAAGGTAATGAAATTATTTGTAGAATGGTTTATCTCTCATGAAAATGGTTTGACGATAAGTCATGGCTCTAACACTATTCCACTTTTTTGGGATGTGCGCCAAGAAATACTTGAGTGCATCAGTCGTTCAATAAATCATACAAAAAAACAAAATTATAACGATTTGTGTAAAGGAGTTTATATTAAACACGTCTTACCAAAATTTTTAGTCACTCATTTAAAGTCAACAGAGGCAAAAGTTATTCCAAAATTTATGCAACATGATCAAGGTTATTTGCAGAATATAATATTATTATTTAAACTATAATTCGTAAAATATATTTAAAAATATAAAACGTAAGAATGTGTTCTTTTCAAAAGTTAACAATAAAATACCAAAAAGTAATTATAATTTCTATAATCTTAAAAAGAAGTTAAGTATTATCTCCACTTTTCTTTTTTTTAAAATTTTAAGAACTTTTATTTCTTCAAGTTTCTTTTAATCAAAACATGTATATTTATCAATTTAAAAACTCCAAAATGGTCTCATTAGTAAAATTATTGATTGATAACAACTTTTGGACCATAATTCATTGAAGGTCTACGGATAAAAATTAACTGACTCGAACTTCATAACCAGTCATAATATTGTAGTTTTTAATAACTTGCAAAATACTGGTTGAAAAATTGTTATCGACCAGTTATTTTTTTTAAATTATATAATTTTTCAATTTGTAAGTTAGAAATTTTTTTTTGTTATAACAAAAGGTCTTAACCAAAATTATTATTTACATAAAATTAAGTATGTTTCCATTTATAAAACAAAAGTTTTAAAAATTAAAAAAATAAAAAGTGGTATGATAGTAACCATTAATTTTTGAAAAAAAAAAAAAATTAAATTATGATTTATATTTTTAAAGATATTGCTTAAGTTTTAATAATTGTGATTTTAAAAAATCACTCTCAATCAAAAACTCACAAAGTTAATTAACACTTAACATCAATTAGAAAATCCATATATGGATGTGATTCTTAAATTTCTTTGCGACAAAGATGCAAAAAAATCATACTGGTGGGGCTTGTCAGAAGTATGTCCTGAAAGTGACAAAGGCAACTATCTTAAAGAAATACCTCATTCCTCTTGTATAAGGAATGAAACGAAAAGTTCAAGAGGATTTAATTCATACAATATTTATATATTTAGTGACAGACGTTCTAACTTATTTGGGAATTTTGATAGTGAAGGGTAAAGAACTTAAAAATAAATAAATTATTGACTAAGATGATTAAACTAAATCAGTTTTATGATATAATAAAAATTGAATGGTAAAATAAAAAACGATAGTACAATGGGGTCGCAGCACAGTATAACCGTGGCATAGTTGGTACAAGTATAGATGATATATGAAAGTGATCATAATCACTATCATAAGAAACAATTCATTGCAAATCTGTAGATAGTGTTTAATTTTAAGAAATTTGTGGACTCTCAAAAGAAAATTTTAACTCAAAAATGATAAAGAAAAAATTGCAAAAAAATCATTTACATAGGCTATTTTTTTACTGAATCGGCAAACATTTATATCATTCGTTTTTTGATAAACTAGGCAGTTGAAGATGATTCAAATGTTTCAAATACTTTTTTGACTTAAATGAAAAAAAAATTAAAATAAATTTAATTTTTATATTCTATGTCAATTAGTTTTATAAAATATTCTTACAAATCAGTGTACCCCATTACAAATTATATTAAAATGAATTAAAATACAATATCATGAATTAAAGTTTCAATATAAAAAAAATTTATTATGATTTGTTCATTTTTCAATAAGTCATGGCAATGTTTAGAAAATAAAAATGAAAAAAATGTCGAAATTTACCAATTTTAAAAATCATAATTTTTTGGGGAATTTTCAATATTTACGGGAAACGAGGCAAAATTTTCAATTTCTGAAGGTAATGTCTTCAACTAGAAATGATTTGTGATATTTTGACAAATAGTTGAAAGAAATCGGTTTGGTGAGAGCTGAGAAAAAGAGACGATAGACAAAAAAAAATCATAGTAAAATTAATAACTTCTCAGCTTCATATCAAAGTTAAAAAAAATCTATTATTAAAAAACAGTAATTCCGTAATAGTTCAAATAAATTTGATGGCAATAAGTATAAAATCTCCTTTCAGTAAAGTGGCCGCTATGGCCATTCAATCAAACACTCTTCTCTCTAGCCATCTCTGTCGATTGTTTGTTTTTTCAATTTGACCCACCTCATGAGGATTCTACATATTTTTTTACCACATTTTTCCATTTCACACAAGATCGTCCCAGAGGCTATCTAATGTTATTCTTAGCGAGGGATTTTGACAACGCAATGCATGTCATCTATTTTTTATCGTTTCCAATATAAATAATTGTCTAAAAATAATTGATTCTAGTTCGTAATTTGTTTTTATTCTCTATTCATTGATATTGATATCCTTTATTGACTTGAAGATACCCCTTAAAAAATGTTTTTCCCAGAGTATTAGTTTTCTTTCATATGTCTTTCTCAACGGCAATGTTTCCACGCTATATGTAGTAACCGGATGTAATAATGTATTATAGAGGTATAAAATAAATTTAAAATGGAATTTTATTAGGTATACAATACTGCAAAAATTATTTTTTTAATTATAAGTTTATCGCAAATTTTTATGTCAAATTTTAGAATTAAAATCTTATTTCTGAAAATTATAGAAGCTATATAATTTTATAATTGTGACACACTATTGATTATGTGTTATAAAAACTGTTTTAGAGTTTTTGGCCTTTATACAGCTGTTATAGTTTATTTTGGATTTAAAGTTGCTCACGATTTATTTCGATCATTTAAATTTAAATTAATATATACAGAAATGCCTTATCCAGATCGTATTTTACAGGTAATCAAAAATATTTACTTGAGAAGGCACTACAAAACTTTCTTTTATGCATAAATATTTCATTATTAAAACAATGTTTTAATAATCAACACAATAGTTCAAACAAAGTGATATTTTAAATATTTATATTTTCCCTCCTATAATTTATAAATAAATTAATAATTAAATTAATAAATTAATTATTAAAAATGATTTAAAAGAAAATGAAAACTTTTCTATTAATAAAACTATTGCAACTTTTCATACGTTTAGCTTACAGATAAACCCTAATTAAAAAGATAAAAATATTTTTAAAATAAAACTATCCTTGTAGATAGTCTTTAAGGCTTAACTCAAAAACTAAAAAAGCTAGAAAATATCTAAGTACAAATTTAATATTGGAGCGAAGATTCGGTTAGAACTATTTTTCTTATTTACTCAAAAAACATTTTTTTATTTTTTAGTGTACTTATTAATGGAATAAAATAATTCATTTTTTAAAAAATCTTTTTTATAGTTATTAAACCAAATATTTTGTTTGTAGTTATGCCAAGAAATTTATTTAGTTAGATCGTTTGGTGAATGGGAAATGGAGGAAGATTTGTATGCCATGTTAATTTATTTATTCAAATCGCCGGAAACATTACTTAAATTTACAAAAATGCCAAATTAACAATTGAAAGATAAATTCTTTAAATATGTAATTATTTTATTGTTTTACCTTTTTTTTTGTTTTAATTATCATTTTGTAAATTTTTAATTCTTCACAAATTCTATATTTTACCTTATTTTTATAGCACAAAAAAAAAATACTAATTACAATAAAACTATTTCATTTAAATATTTGTTCTATTCTTTAATATATTTCAATGATACATAAAGTGTCAATAAAATACTTGATAACTATATCATTTTACTGAGTTACAATTTATTAGGTGTCTTCTTTTGATTATTATCTATTTAAGATAAATAAATAATGCTGATATAAAATGTAACTATATAATGAGAGAGTATACAGCATTCTACGTAGAATTTTTTACGTTAAATCTTATTAAATGTTGAATTTGAGCAAAAATTTAATAATTGGATAAATAAGGTATAATTAATTATAATTCAATGTTTGATTTTAAACATTCAAATTTGATCAAGTTTTATTTAAAGGTTAAAATTTTCTTATACTATTAATATAAAAATAGTTATTAATAATTATCGTTTCGAAAATATTCTGCTACTAATTTGAAATATTAGTGTAATATTAAAAAAATGAATATATTGTAAGGTGGCTACACTGATTAGCAATATATTATCATTGTTAATAGGCTGATGTTGTTATATTTATAAAAAGTAGTAGTTAAGATGTATTAAGAATTCATGTGTGATCTCTGTAATAAACTGTCATAAATAAATAACTGCTGGTTTCATTATTTAGATCGGTCCTTAGGTCGATCTAACAAATCTTACAATATAAAAATATTCTGAGTACATAATAATTCATGAAAAGATTTATTTTCTCTCTAAATAGAACTTTTTTTGTACTATGAAAGAACCCTCTTTAAGATGAAAAAAATATAAATAACTTATGTACATATTTTAATAGAAAACTATAAAACGAATTCTTTCAATTTAAAATTTTTCACTAGATGGAGTTTCTTAAACAGATTTAATTTTTGAGTCGATAATTTGTTGGGGAAAGTTATAGGTTATACTGTGTCGTGTTATTTTTTTGTGTCAGTATACACTGTAGAGGGGTGACCGGAAAAATGATTAAATTAATATAAATTGTTGGTAAGCTCAAATTTATGTTTATTATATTTTCATATATTTCTCGTAACGCATCGAACAATGTCTCGCGGTGTACTGGTTTTAGATAAAATGCAATATGTGATAAACGCCAATTAATTTAGCGTCCATTCGATATAATATAGGCCGCAACATGCACGATTACTTTGCTTCTACTGAACTAATTATGTTAAACAATACGTTATAAGACCAAAAAATCTCTAGTTAACTTGTACATTTTACTAATTTTGTATTAATGTTATCGGCGTCATAATTTTGAAAAATGTCCCTTAGTGCAAGTAAAAAAGAAAAATATCTCAAACAATTTCAGTTGTTATTAAACATTCAATATTGATTGCTTTGAACGATGAGAGCTGCAATCATAAACTATTTTAACAGGTTCATATTGGGGGTAATGTGCTATACTCATTCGTGTCCTGGTGTCATTCATTATCAATAATAACGTATAGTGCTGTTTTCTAATATTTTAACGTGTAATAGTGCATAATTATATAACGGATATATTTACATAGGATAAGAGAATATACATTTTCTTGTTTGTACTTGAAACATTTGTCAGAAGCTAATTTAAAGTTTACAAATGTAATCGTAGTTTACTATACGAATATTCAAAATACGTTCAAAACGTTAATTACTCAATCAATTCTTAATAGGATCAAGATCAGGATATTATTCATATTGTGTATTTCAATTATTAACTTTAATATATTTATCTGTTTCATTATTTGATCATTTACTAACTATAAATATTAAGTATATCCTATGTTAATTTATTTTAAGAACATTATCAATATAAAACAAAAAGACATACACTCTACAAAAGTTTTATTATTATTTAATTATAAAATTATCTATTACTAATGATGGAAGTTAAATTTATCGACTTGCCATCCAAATAATTACGCCAAATACTAGGTTCTTCGAATCAAATATTAAAATTTTTTATTAATTTGTGGATGAGTTTCCTTAAGATTATATCGCTTACACGTTTGATTAGTAAGCACTTTATTACTGCTGCTTGAAATTATATTTTTGTTCGTTTTTTCCTGCGTCAACGACCCGTAGTATACATAAGGACAGTATAAAATGTCTCGTAATAAATACACAAAGATAGTGACAGAGCTACTTTCAGCTCTGTTGCATGTTCGAGCGCGCTTATAGTGTTGTGCAATCAGTGCGAAATGTTTTTATGTAGTCGGTCGAAACGCGGATAGACGTATCAAAACAGCACTTATTTGTTTTGCGAACGGAGACTGTTGAAAATGATAAGGTACAGTTCAAAGAATATCAGGTATCTATTTTGAATGCGTTTCGAAACGCCGATTCACACCACTGCCCCTCACAAAAAATGGGACTATTACACACAATGGCAACAAGAGTCGTCATAATAGCTGATAAAAATAACGTGAACGAAAAAAAAAACATACCTACGACAAGCACTCAAGAACAATGGTTACACAATCAAAATATCAACAAGGCAATCAGAAAAGCAGAGAAAAGAAAAAACACAACACGCAATGACGATGAAGAAAACAAAGAAGATGAAAAGAAAGGAACTTTAATACTACCGTATATACAGGGAATCGCTGACCGCATTTCAAGAATCGCATAAAAACTTAAACTAAGAACTGTTTTTAAACCGAACACAGTCGCAGGATCACTATTCCGGAACCCGAAAGATAAGCTATCAGAGATGCAAACACCTGGGAGTATATGAAATACCATGCTCTTGTGGTAAATCCTACATTAGACAAACAGGAAGAGCTATTTCAACAAGAATAAAAGAACACGAAAAAGACGTATATTACCAAAGGACAGAAAAATCAGCAGTAGCCGAACACGCTAAAAACAAAGGACATGACATCCAATTCGATAAAGTAAAAATACTAAACAAAGAAACTCATTTTGGTAGACGAATGTACAAAGAGGCAATATAAATCGAAAATTGTCCAGAGAATTTCAACAGATAAGACGGATGGAAAATAAGCAGAACTTGGTTACCCATCATACACCAGACAAAAAGAAAATCAACTAACAACACTAAAAACAGTTCAATATAAAAAAAAGTTACCATCAACGTAATGGAAAACTTTCGGTGCAAAAAAGGAAGACCAAAATGCCAAGAATGTCAAAAAAAACAAAAATAATCAAAAACAAAGTCACCAACAAAAACATCAGGAAAAACAGGATACCGTAAACAACATGAGTCATAAACAGATCAGATAAACAACCGATATGGTAAACAACTGATAAGATAAACAACCAACGTATAAAAACAGACTGATAACAAGATAAGCCGCCAGTATAGTTTCAGCCACCGAGCAGTAACTATCGCTCCGAAGATGGACTCCACAATGAGTCTAAAACGTCAGCAATCAACTGCAAACATGGATAAATCCTCAAGCTTTTCAAATAATACTTAAATTTGTCATAATTTGTTTGTATTAATATGAAAATGAATTATTTCACTAAAATTTAGAATGATCATTTCTATGTAACGCTTAGTGTTAAAACAGATGCTATGGCTGAAATATTTAGAACTTCATTCGGAAATATCCCGTGCCTAATTTCACCTATTATGTCAACTGCTAATTTGACTTAAATTTTTTTCCATATTTAAATATTTATTTTTTACTAATTAGTAATAATCTCATAAATTAGAAACTATTTATTAACTAATTACTCATATATTATACTTATAAAGCAAAGAACTACTAATCAGGATATAATACAGGAATTAGGAGTTGATGTTGCTATTGTATAATTCATTATTTTTTTAAATTTATACACTATGTACAGATTTGCATCAAAGCGTTTTTTATGATAGTGATTTTAATCACTGTCATTCATATATCATCTTTACTTGACCTAACTATGTCATGTCCCCACTGTGCTACCATTTTTTTAAAATTTGAATTCCCATGGTTTAAATCAATAGTTTTTCAACTATATTTGTATCCATGGCAAACAGTAAGGTATATATTTTCTTCAACGTAAATTTAATATTTAATTAATATTTAATAGTATCGTATTGGATTTGGTGTAACTTGAACTTTGTATTTAATATAACATAAAAAACAATTTACAAAATGGTATGTATATGGTATGAATAAGATTTATTAAAAAATAAAAAGTAGACTAGATATTTTGAGAAATTATAATTTAAATACTCACTTAAATAAATACAATTTCAAAACATTTTAATTGAACAAAAAAATATTTATATATATTTTGTAATATATTTTTAATTTTAGTCTTCTTCCTTTTCCTCGCCTTAATCCCAACTACTTGAAGTCGGCCACCCATATCCTACATTTATATTTGACAAGATTTCTCATATTATCTATGCTAACATCAGCTGTCCTCATAACGAATTCAATAACATCCTTCAAGTTTTTTTTTTGGTCATCCTCAACATCTTATTCGTTTAACATTTATTTCTATATTTGTTTTTACAGCTTCCGATTCTTTTATCCTCAGAACATGATCAAACCATCTAAGTCTATATTTTCTCATTTTATCCACAATTGACGCTACACTCTTACTGCATTTTCTCATTAATGACCACTTTAAAACACCTCTCTTTCTTCAGTATAGTGATTTTAATCACTGTCAGATATTTTAGATGTATACTTGTCCCAACTATGTCATATCCACACTGTAACACGACCATAATGTGCTACGGTTTCTATTAAGTGTATAGACTTTCTTTTTTTCCTAGCCTATCATACAACTAAAAAAAAAATCATTATTAAAATAAATTAGTAAAATATTAAACTTTTATAATAAAATTGTTTTTGTGTTTTGAAAGCATATATTGACCCATCATGTAAATAATTTAATCACTAAGAAAATGTCATATAATAGAATAATTACTAGTTACAGAAAAATAAATTATATTATTCAAGAAAATATGGTTATTTTTCTATGACTATTTTTCTATAAAAAAGTAGTATAATATTATCAGTTAAAAAACTATTTGATGTAAGCAACATTAGCCGTTTAGTGTTATAGGTGTAAATCTTTCAATTTCATATCTTTTTATTTATTGATAAAAAATTTTAAATCTTGTTATAAATTATTAAACTATGTGCTGCAAATAACATTATTTTTAGTAGATATAAAAAAAGGCGTCGCAAATTCCAAATTATGATGTAGGTCAATTCCTATTTCATTGAGTTACTTCTAAGCAACGTTACAGTTGTTGAGTTAAGCGCCATTATTTTTTTAACTTCAGCCATAAACTAATAAGAAATACTAAAAATCAATAACTAATATATTTAAAAAATATATATTTGTCTTAAAGATTAATATAACATGTATTAAAAAAAAAAAAATTGAAGGGCTATTAAATAACAAGTGTTTTTTTTTTTAATAAAAAAGAAGAAATTGTTTTCTGACTCTTCTAAAAAAATTAATAATGTCCCGTTTATCATAAATAGGTTTTTAACCGGTAATATATTGACAAATTTTATTATAAAAATAATTTTTATACGGGATTATTCTTTAATCGTTAAATACTTAATCATTCGAAAAAAAATTGAGAAACCTTAATTACATGTTTCTCTTAACTTATGAATCATGATTAAGTAGTTTTTATGTTAATCCCTTATGTATTATAAGGGTAGCAATTTTATTATTTGAAATGTTTGCAGATATATCCATGCCTTCAGTTTTGAGCGACGTTTAGGACTCTATGCAGAGTCAATCTTTAAAGTTATAATTACAGGCTTGTGGTTGTAACTATACTGTCGACTTAGTTGTTTTTATATTAGCTGATTACTGATAACATCGATGTTGATTATCTGTTTTGTTTTTTGTCGTGTTGTTGTTGATTATTACTGTCAGTTTGTTGTTTTCTTTTGAGTTTTTTTTTTTTTTACGTTACTCTTGGCATGAAGGTCTTTTCTACACCGAGAATTTTCTGGTATGTTAAATATAGTTTTTTTTACATGTTCAGTTATTTTCTTTGTTGTTTATTGATCTTCTTATTGTCTGGTGTATGATAGGTTACTAATTCATTTATCCTTTATGTAGTAATTTTCTGGACGCGAACAATACCATAAACAATAGCAAAAACAATAAACTGATCTTTGTTAACAACAACAGATAACCAACATCAAGTTATCAGCCAATATAAAAACAAATTAATCTGACAGTATAGTTATAATCATGAACCTGTGACTATGATTTTAAAGATTGACTCTGAAATAAGTCCTAAACGTTAGCCCAAACTTTAGACATGGATGCATCTGTAAATATTTTAGATAATTAACAATCCATAAAAGCTTTAACACATTGTTAGCAACTTTATTTCATTTTTATTGAATATTTACATAATCAACAAGTTCATTTATTAGATAGTGATTTGATTAAGACAGAGATTCGTTGGTCGATAACTTCTTTTGGATCAGTATTTCGGAAGCTATTATCAATTCTATACATACGTAGACAAAATGAAGAGTGCAGACAAAAAAATTCTTGTATTCAAATTATTAATACCAGCTCCTCTTCAGCGATTACTTAAAATTATTAATTACTTCTAAAATACTGATCACAAATTAACTTAGAGATACAAAAACTATATGCCATTCTAATTCCAACTGTAGCTTTGAAAATTCATATATAAAGCTGGTACCCGATAAAATAATTTTTAATATTGAAATTATTAAATAATATATATAGTATTTTATAGTAAATTAATTAAATATGATATTACTTTCCAAGGCTTCTAAAATCATTCCACTTTTCAATAATGTATTGATAAAAAAATTGCATAGACTACCAAAGTCTAAAGGTGGAATTTTATACGGTAAAGAACAAAAAAGTCCGCTAACCGGCATAGTAGTTGCAATGGGTAAAGATTGTAAAAAGGTATTTAATTGAAATAATTAAATAATTAGGACACTTATGTATTTAAGTATATTATATAGATAGAGGGTATTTACTTAACTGCGCTTCACGAAATATCATCGAAAGTATTAAAACTTTACACTCTATTATATTTAAATCGGTTACACTTATCAATTTATGACTCAATAAACATGTCTTTTTTTTTTAAATAACTACTAACAAATAATAAAAGTAGTGTATAAGAAATGATAGCAGAAAATTAATTTTAATATAATAGAGTGTATAGTTAAACGTATTTCTATGAACCGTTAGTGATTAAGAATATTCGAAACAGCTGTAATTCGTTGAAAATCGAATAGTATAATAAGCTCTATTAAACGAGACATTTCTCTTTAAATTTATCAAATCTGATGATATAATAAAAAATTGGTTTTGCCATTTTAAAATAAAAAGTTGATATGAGTTTAGCGTATAATGATAGCAGAAAATTAATTTTTCGTATGAAAAAGATTCTTTATTGTTAAAAACTACATTATTCACGATATTTTGAAAAGCTCAGTTAAGGAATCACTATATGTTTTATAAATAGGTCATCAAACATTACCATTTAATTTAAATAATTTTTATTTATTTATAGGATGGTTTAAAAGTCGGTGATAAAGTGTACTTAACAACAAATTACAATGGACGTCAGTTACATGTAGAAGGCTTTAAGGAACAATTATTTATGTATAGGGACCATGATATGCTTGGAGTAATTGATGAAAAGGTTGAACAACAAAACCAGAAGAGTAGTAAAAAAAATCTGGAAAACTGTGTAAAATTGAGCAGGAATTAAAAACTCTCGATAATCTTTACTAATTACTAATAGAAATTTAAGTTTTTGTTTTCATTTATTGTTTAAATATATATTTAAATATATCCATAAAATACACACACTATAATATATTATTACATATACTCCATCTAAAATTTATTTTTAAATATTAAATACAAAACACTAGCATATAAATGAAACAAAATATTCATAATAATATTTTAAACATTGTACAATATTACTTAATATTATTCATGCTTATAATAATTATTAATAAGTAATAAATTAAAAAAACTTTTTTAATTAAAAATCAAAGTTTTAAAATAAAAAACTAGTAACTAAAGTATCAAAAAACATTACAATAATTATTATTACAATGTTTTTATAAAATTTGATTACCAAAAATAAGTACGTTGTTAGATCTGAGTCAAGTATGTTAACATTGTTGTTCTTTAAGTTTTGTTTTTAACTATATAATATATTTTTGATTTTAATGATATTAGTCAAGACAATAAATAATAATTAAATAAATGATTATATTTAAATAAAAAATTAATATACAAATATTTTAACTAGGAAATAAAAAGTTGAAAAATAAATTAAATAATATTATTTACGTTATAGTAATATGGAGCTTGGAAATTTTTGAGATGAATTTGATGTAAAGGTTGAACACAAGTATTGGGTGGATATAACCCAAAACTCTTAATTTTTCCAATATTACAAGCTAATAGCTCTTTTTGTTTTTTAAATATTAATTCATTTGAATAACTTATTAATTTTGTTTTTAAAGTATAAATACATTCTCTTTTGGCTGCTAAATCATCTAGTGTTTGTAAACGTTTATTAACTATTTGTTTGTAATCTTTAGTCACTTCATCGAGTAATTTATTAGCTTCAATAACTTCGGGTATAATACTGTTTTTTACGTTTTGTTTAACATAATGTTCGTTATTAATATCTTTTTGAGTATATATTTCATTTTCTTTCGCTATTGTAATAGAAAATATTAAATGTTAATCATTAATTGTATTATAGTAAAAATTATTTACTAACAAATTGCTTCATCACGCTCTTGTGTTAGACATTTTATGAGGTCATACTGTTCTTTAATACAATTATCATCAACTTGTTCTGAGCTTAAGCACTTTTCATTAACAGCTACTCCTTTAATGTTATCTTCCGGCCAGGATAATGCTTCTGAAACTTGTTCTTTTGTTAATCCACATAGATAATTTACTTTCCTTTCCGATATTTGTCCTTGACATTCCCCACAGGTAAAAAAAATTGTACCAAAAATAATTAGATTACATAACAAGGAATACATTACATTAGTATAATTTTTTTTTTTATAAAAATTGTAACAAAAAATAAAACAAATAATGCGGTAACTATGACTTCTAATTAATTATATCCATAATTAAACAAACAAGGTGTAAAAAATAACCAGAAATAAAAACTAAAATTTAAGCTTTTTTAAAGACTAAATAAATATTTTATGTAGTTTGAGTACTAATTATATTATGAAAGTTAAAGGTAGACATTACATAAAAAAACATTTCGAGTCAAATTTTCAAATCGATAATAAAAATATGTTTGTAATACTTAATAAAGTAGTTAACTTAATGGTGAGGTATTTTTTAGTGACCATTGGATTATTAAAATAAATAACGAGAAATATGTTTCATAAAATTAAAACTAAGAATAATTTTTGGACATCATTTCACTTATCACTCGGGCTAGTATATATACAGAATGATTTTTTATCATTACCGACTCAGTTACTAACAGAATAAATATAATTTAAACATTTTTTTTTTTTTGGTTATTTTAAGTTGCACATTTTTCTTGAATTGTTAACAATGTAATACTTTTTAAGTTCATCCCTTATGCCTTGTAAGGGTGTCAACTTTGTTTTTTTTAATAGGAACAGATATTATACTGTAGACTGGTAGTAACAAACACAAATAAAGTTAAAAGTTAATAAATTTTGTTGTTGAAACCCCTATTATCATATCTAACCTAAGTCGTCAAAGAACACTTTCAAAATATTAGAAATTAATAATTTTCATTGTCTGTATGGAGAGCATGACATTAGTTTTATAATACTGTTTAATTGATAAATTATAATTTTTTTTCAATTTTGTAGAGTAATTTTATTAACACTAAATTTCTCAGAAAAGCTCAATAATTATGTACATTTTTTTTTGTAAAAGTAGGTCAAGCGAGAACTGAGAAAATAAATGATAGTACCAAAAATAAACCATATAGTAAAGTTAATTTTAATATAAATAAAAATTTGTTTTCTCGAGGGTAGACTACAGTGAGGAATCCTTGATCTTTATTGAAGTTATTGAAACTTAATAAAATAAAAATCAAATGAGTGGAAAGTTTTTTTCTAAATCAAAAAGGATTAAGAAAAAAATGCAAAAAATTCATAGCCACAGGGGGTTTGAGCCTTTTACCCTAAGCGCGTAAGACACAAGTAATACCGACTTGGCAACCTTACATCGCTTTCGCCGACCGAAAAAAATTAATATAAGATTAATTTAATATATAATATTAAAATAAACTAATTCAAATTTCAAAGTTATTTTTCTCAATATAAAATACAAAATCCAGAATTTCATCATGAAGATAAGTCCAGATGTAAATTTTTTTTTTTCAAAATAAAGTATATTACATAAACTTTAATTTAAGGTGTATATAAAAGTGTCAGTATTTTCAGAACATTTTTAAAAGTTAAGTTGAAAAAATTGCCATTTTTAAACCCCCCCTGCACAGGTAGAGGGTTAAATATTAACAAAAATATATAAAATAATAGGTATATACCTAAAGTATTTATAATAAAAAAAATTATATTGATTTGTTCATTTTTAAATAAGTTATGGCAGTTTCAAAAAAAAAAAAAATTTTAAAATGTCGAAAATTACAATTTATAAAATTGTAATTTTTTGGAAGATTTTACCCAATTGAAATTTGGAATTATTGGTTGAAATTATTTTAATGTAAATTCTTAGTTACTAGTTAAGTTTAAATAGATTTATTTTTATTAGCTATCAATTCTTATACAACAATTACAGAATTTAACGGCTTTATTATTTTTATTTTTATTAAAATTAAAAATGAACTATTATGATAAGCTTGAAATCTATAATGGAAATGAAGATAATGAAACAAATGCAAATCTATACCGGTATTCATAACAAAATTTTATATGAATTAAAATAAATAATTTTAATGTTATAGAATGACAAAAGAAGCATTGTTATTAAGTTGTAAACAAAATGATCTTTATTCGACACCATATCTCAATGATGTTTTATATCTTCATTTTAAAGGTAAATCATTTTAAAGGGTATCTTTATTTTAATTTGAATTTCTAAACATTTATTTTATATTCATAGGTTATTCCGTCATTGAAAATTTAGAAGAGTACACTGGTTTGAAGTCACTATGGTTAGAAAATAACGGTTTAACTAAAATTTCTGGCCTTGACCAACAAAAAAAACTTGTATGTCTATACCTACATAATAATCTAATATCAAAAATTGAAAATATTGAAGCGTTAATAAAACTTGATACAATTAATATAAGTCATAATTATATTAAAAAAATCGAAAATTTGAGTAAGGTAGCTTACATACTGACAGTTTTAATTAATTTCTAATATTTAAGACATACTATACAGGCAATTTACCAGCTCTTAATACTCTTCTTATGAGTCACAATAAACTGACTACAGCTGATGATATTGCTCAACTAGCACAATGTGAACAATTAACAATTGTGGATCTTTCACACAATAACTTAAGTGATCCTCAAATTATTGAGGCAAGTTAAATTGTTTAACTGAAATATTATACTGTATTATTTAAATTAAAAAAAAAGTTTGTAATACTTCAAAAGTGAAGAAGGTACAATTTTAAGTTATTATTACAATGTAACTGAGCGTGTAACAAACTATGTGTAAAATATCCACCGTAATTATCAGCCAGATCGTGTTTTAATTTAATGTCATAAAATATTTAATATAAATTTCTTAATAATTAAATATATAGACACCTTTAAAGGTGTATTACCAATTGATTATTAATTATTATTATAAATGTAAATTTTTATGAAAAGGCAAAAAAAAATGATAAATAAAAATTATATTGAAAGCGATACCTTCTCAGCTTTGCGTTAAAACTAAAATATTTTATGGCTAGTAAAATAATTTATCAAATGATTATTTTATAAGAATAGCCATAACTAAGATATTCCAGAATTTAAACAACGTTATATGTAGAACTATATCGTTTAAATAATACTGATGTCATAGGTTTTCAGAAAAATGAAATCTCTTCGTGTGTTGACATTAATTGGAAATCCAATAATTACAGAAATAAAAAATTACCGAAAAACACTTATTCTCAAATGTGTAAGATTATTTTGTAACTAATATTAAAAAATTATAATAGTAATGTAATACAAATTATTATTAAATTTCAGTTAGAATTACTTAATCTGGATAATAGATCAATATCTAAAAAGGATCGGGTGTGTACAGAGGCATGGTAAATAATTATTTCATTATTTTTTAATAGGTATTTTTTTATATAAGATAATTGATTTAACGTTGATCACTGAATTTCTCCTAAAATAATAATTACTTAAATATGTATGTTTATATTTTTTTGCTTTATTTGGTAGTATTTGATTCTATACTGATAGTTAAATATCGGGTCTTCTTTTGTCTTGTCTTAATCCCATATACTTGTAATTGGCCAACCTTATCATAAACTTACACTTGTCACAATCTCCCACATCATCTACGCTCACATCAGTCGACCTCATATCAAATTGAATTAATTCCTTGATCTTTTTTTTATTTGGTCCTCCTAAACCTTTTTTCGTTTAACGTTTATTTCTATATTTGTTCTTACAGATTCCGATTCCTCTATCCTCATAACATGATCATACCATCTAAGTCTATTTTCTCTCAACTGATGCACGATTGACGCTACACCTATACTCCCTCTTATATGTTCGTTCAATATACTATTTTATCTAGATACTACACTCATCATTCTAAGCATTCTCATCTCTGTTCTATTTTCTAGTCAACTACCCAACACTTTAAACCATAAATCATAGCTGATTTCACTACAGTTTTATAGAACTTACCTTTCGGCCTCATTGAAATTCTCTCGTCGCATAACACATCGATTCTTCTCTCCACTTCACTCATCCAAACTAATCCTGTGTTTTGTATCTTTGACAACACCACCGTACTTTTACACAATTGATTTTAAATACTTAAAACTTTCCACTTCATTTATGGTCTCTTTGATTAATTTTTTTCCTAATTTCTCCTTGTATTTTTTTAATAATTTCATTCTTAACTATAGAAAGTAATTAAGGGCTAAAAACAGACCCTTGGTGCACTCCTCTTCTTACCCTAAAATTTTCTGTTACTCCACCCACACTTTTTAACCTGGTATAAGTGTCATCATACATATCCTCTATTTTATTAATGTAACTTTTCTCATTAATGCCCAATTTAAAACCTTTCTCGGTACTTTATCATACGCTTTCTCCAAATTTATAAATACCATACACAGCTTCTTCTTCTTTTACCTAAACTTTTCTATTAGTTGCCTCACACAAAATACTAGCTCCATTGTTGACTTGCTAGGCATAATTATGTTACAAAACATATCTTTACCAATCATGTAAATAACTTCTACTTTTACCCCAAAATCTTCTGTTGTCTGCCTATATTTTTTATCCTGGTTTATATTAAACTATACAAAACCTTTGTGGAACCTTGTTTCTCATTAATGACCACTTTAAAACTTCTTTCTTTCTCCAAAATAGTGATTTTAATCACTGTCAGATATTATCTGTACTTGTCCCAACTATGACACACCCACACTGTGTCGCTACCCTAATGTTCTACGGTTTTTTTTAAGTATATGGACTATATCACCTTCCTTTGTCCCTGGCATATCATACAACTCATTTTACTTCTTAAACTTTACTGCCGATTGGGATAATTTTACGATCTTTTACTCGCTTTTCACTCTTTCTCTTCCACATAAAAAAATCAACCTGTTATCTATTACTCCCGCTCTTATAAATTATATAATTTTCTTTCCTCTTTCTAAAATAAGTATTAACCACAACAAGATCATACGTTACAGTCTAGTGTATCTCCTGATACAGTCTATATCATTTTTACGATTTTCAATCATGTCTTAGCTACATCTTTAAACCTTATAATTTCTCTTCTACTATTTATAAAATCAAATTTCTTATTTCTGTTATCAATTGACTCAGAATATTGGTTTTTATTTATTGAATTCCTAGTCATGTAGATATTTCAGGTAATGAAATAGCAAAATTCTTGCAACTTTTTCTTCTTTGTTACTACCATCAACGAGTTTTGTTGTTTTAAAGACTTTCTTTGCTCTTTCCATAAACTTCTTCTAAGTGCTTAGTAATGTAATAATCTTCCAACTTTGCCTTGTGGTACAGAGAAATTTGTTCTATTAAATCCCTTTGTCTCTAGTTTTTCAACTTAAATTGTAATTTAAATTTTGCCACAATTTATTAATAGTCATACTTATTTTGAAACCTTAAATCTTTTTTTTTTAGTACTTCAAACGATGAATAACATTTAGACAACTTTTTTTATTATCACTCGAACTATCATTTACTCTTTAAAAATAGAATTGCGTTAGTCAATTCCTTAGCTCATTCTCCATACTTTTGTATCATAATTATTTATTCTATTATTTCCTTTCTCTGGAAATGAAAAATTATTATTTAAATGGATTTAATGTTATTTTTATATTACAGTTGAAGTGTAATATTTGTAAAAATAAAATATCTATAGATTGAAAAATTCTAATAACAAGTATTAAACTTAATTTATATCCAAGTTGTAAAAAAAAAAAAATGATAAATTATTTATAAATTTTGTTTAAGCCACATTGAAGAGGCCTTTAGTTTGTGCAGCTTTATAGTAAGATTATATAGTAGCATAGGTATATTTTTTATTTTAGCTGTAAATTAACCCCATAGTCCCTAAAAACTAAAAAAATTGTAAAAACATATTAGGTTTTATTTTAATTTTATAATATGATAGAAAAAGAAAATTTTAAACATTTTAGTTATTTAAAATATATAAAGTTGAAAACCTAATAAAGGACAGTCCTACATTTTTTACAGCTTAAAAATCAAGAAATAAAAACCCAACCCAGCACAGGGGGGTTGCGGCACAGTGGTGACGTGGCGTAGTTGGATCAAGTATAATGATATCTGACAATGATTAAAATCACTATAAAAAAAAAACGCTTCGATGCAAATCTTTAGATAGTGTTTAATTTTAAAAAATTGGTGTATTATTCCAAAAGCTACATGATCTGCTAGTTCCTTATTAATATCCTGATTAACATTAAGTATGTCGAATGAAAAAGGGATTATTAAAAAATATTATTTCTCATAAAAAAATTGTATTCATCCATATATTTTTCAAAAAATTATAGCATAATAAAGTTAAAAATGTAAAAAATAATATCAAGAATTTTCATACAAAAACAGCATTCGGTAGCCATTTTCACCACGAAGACAAGTCCAGAGGTCAAATTTTTTTTTTTAAATTAAAGTATATTACATAAGTTTTAATTTAAGATATATATAAAAGTGTCAGACCTTCCGGAACATTTTCAAAAGTTAAGTTGAAAAAGTTAATTTTTTGTGAAAAAGTTGTCATTTTAAATCCCCCCCTGTGGGCAGAAAAAAGGTTGAATTTACAAAAAAAGTATACCAAATGATAGGTAAAGACATCAAGCATCTATATAAAAAAAAATTATATTGATATGTTCATTTTTGAAAAAGTTATGGCAGTTTTTAGTAAAAAAAATTGAAAAAATTTCGAAAATTAGCGATTTTTAAATTTGTAATTTTTTTGGAGGTTTCCCCCATTTACGGGGAACGAGGGAAATTTTTTCAATTTTGAAGGGTAATGTCTTCGACTAGATACGATTTGTGATCTTTTGACGTATCGTTGAAAGAAATCCGTTCGGTGAGAGCTGAGAAAAAGTGGTAACAGACACAAAAAAAAAAAAAAACACATCATAGTAAAAGCAATACCTTCTCAGCTTCGCATCGAAGCTAATATATAAAATAAATATATCATAGTAAAATTAATATCTTCTCAGCTATAAATCGATGCCACAAGTAAAAAAAATCAATCAGAGCAATCAATAGCTAGTAAATATTTAAAGAAAATATTTAAATTGTTAAAAAATAGAAAGTTTTTATATGACCGACATAATCTGTGTCTCTCAACTTTCTGAGATTATTTTTAAAAAATCTATACCTACAACATTGACGCATATTTTAAGTAGTTTTGAGATAAGGTCTTAATTTATTTTATAAAAAAATTAAATATTAAAACCTTTAAATACTTAATAGGAACATTGGTGGTCTAGAAGCAGAACAAATCATGAGAACACAATTAATAAATGAAGAACGTCAGAGAATGAACGAATCGGTGTCTGCATTATTAAAATTACGAGATGATCATATAATTAATCAAATAGACACTCAATTGGAGCCAAATAAAATAAAAAATTATACTTTTGAGTGTAATGAAAAAAAAAGTGAAGATAAAATTAAGACTTTTTCTACTGATCAAAAAATTACTGATTCATATCATGATGAATATGCAATGAAATCATCCAATATAAATCGAGTTCATGATATATGTATAATCAAAGAGGCTGAGCATATTAAGACATCAACAACAACAAATAAAATAACATCTAATACATCAGATAAATCTTTATATAAATTATCATTAAATAAATGTAAAGCAAATGTGAATGTAGAACCAAAGGATATGTTTTGTCGAAATAAGATTAATAAACATATTGTTGAAATTGATCAACACACATGTTCTGGGGACTTTAGTCAAAGAATAAAAAATATTGTTGAAATTAACAAAATAGCCAGCGAAAAATTTTTAGATAATAATAGAAATGAAGAGGAAAATGTAAATATTCAAATTGAAACCACAAATCATCTTATTGATCAAAATGATTATACATTTACAAATAAAAAAGACGATAATGATTATGATTTAGAAAGTGATTTTTACGATGTAATAGAAATTTCCAGTGAAGAAGAAATATTTTATGATTGTTTAGAGCATAATAAACTACAAGAGAATGATACATTACTATTATCAATGAATAGAATACACAAATCAAGTGATGAACAATTTAATACAAAAGGTTACAGTAAATATTAATATTTTAAACCTAATTTTATGAAATATTTTTAAATTTTAGAATCTGAACGTACTATAAGTAAGAATACTCATTCAATGTTGTGTACTATCTTAAATAATATTTCTAGTATAAAGAGGAATATTAATGAATACTACGACAAAGCAGAAAATAATCTTAACACTACAAACAAATTAAATAGTATCGATATTCAATGTAATAAAATATTTGACCGAACGAGCATTTCTCTTAGTACAAAAACAAAATATCTAAAAACAAAAAAATGTATAATACAATAAATTGAGATTACAAATATTTTATTGACCTATTTTAAAAAAATTGCAAAATAAAAATGATAAAATATGGATTACTTTGAATCCAGTAAAGCTAATTAAAAAAATATATTTTTTTATTCTCTGTACATAATATACTTATTATATTATAACATGTCCTATGGCATCTATTTTTTCTATAGTTAACCTTGGGTTTCGTCTCACTCATACTTTTAATTTCCATTTTCATATTGAAAAACATGTTGTAAGGCCCTCAAAATTTTAGGATTTATTCAGAAAATCGTTCATGAATTTCATCTTTCAAAACCTTTAAATAGTTTTTTTTTTGCTTATTGGTTAGCCCTATTCTTGAATATGGTTCGGTGTTATGGATCTTTATACAGCTATAGACTCTAAAATGTTTGAAAGAGTCCAGCGTAAATTTTTGTGCTTTACTGCTTTTATCCTTAATATTCTGCATCCACCTCATGACTATTATTTAAAATTTCTTGCAACTTCTTTCTTTATTTGACAGAAGATACGATTCCAATATACGTTTCCCTTCTAAACTCACAGCTGGATTGATTAATTCTCCTATCCTACTTTCAAAATTGAATTTTCGGGTGCATGCTTATTCAACTTGTAATACTGTCCCTTTTGTCATTCTTTTTTCCTCTTTTAATTATATATTTCATTCCGCTCTCACTGCAAATAATGACCCTAATTTATTGTACTCATATCATTTTTAATTTTGTTGTTAAACTATTATATTTAAGATTTTAAATTGTTCATTTCTATATTATGCACATGTCTTAATTAAAATATGTTTTGCGTTTATTAATGTGTTTTTGGTACTAAGTTTATTTTAATTTAATTATGTTCATATTTTTAAGTTAATATGGTAATTTAAAATTGATTAATTTATTCTTAAATACATACTATATTTTTGTGATATTGCCCATAATGTGAATAATAAATAAATAAATAAGTAAATATATTATATATTTTATTAAGATATACAATTTTTGATAGCTATGCTTCTTTCTGTTCCCTGCTAACATTTTATTACTTGTCAAAATTTATTTTTGGAATAAGTGACTGTTAGCTTAATATTTTACTTATTTAGCTGCATTCATAGCGTTTTAATAATTATGATTAATATCAAGCATTATTATTTTTTTAAAATATATTTTGCAAAATTTAGGGTATATAGCTTTTTTTAAAAACAATACCTTATTATTTAACTTCCGGACATATATTTTCATCTATTATGTATATTTGTTTAACTAGTTTAACTATATCTTCTAGGATACTTATTAATGTAATTTAACATTTAGTTAATTTTGAGGAAGAGCGTGGCAAAGTAATGATGATAATAATAACATAATCTACACCTTACCCCACCACTCTTTATTTTAAAATACTTATAACTTCCAAAGTAATCGGTCTTAAGTTTTTATCGACCATTCATTTTCTTAATCAGATCATTATTTATCTTATAAGCTAGTAAATATGTGTTTTATATGTAAAATTTTACTAGACATCTTTATAAGATTTAAAGAGATGAATTAAAAGAGTAATTAATAACTAATAAATCAAGAAATATATCAAACTAAAAAGTGCCAAAACTAATTTTATTCTTATAATTATTATTTAAAAAAAAATAGTAAGTAAGCGTAACAATTAACATAAGCATTCAAGTTCATTGAATGTAATTCATATGTTTGATCTATATTATCCTGTTGTCAAGCCAACTGTACAGAAGAGATTGTTCAGACAATCTATTTATCATAAACTAGAGATTCCACTCACTAATAAGTTAACTGTACTGTTTTGAGGATACCCACAATGCACGCTAATTATTCTTATACTAAACTTAGACGAGAATATGGCAAACAATGTAAATTTAATAAGTGGGGGCCAAAAATTTTAGAAAATGTTTTACCAGATATGAAGCTTGAAGAAAACTGGATAAAAGATAATGTTTGTGATAGTGAAACTTGTAAAGGAGTAGAATGGTCAGCACATGATGTAAATAATTATTTCTTTTAAAATACAAACAAATAAATATTATTATTATCTCTAAACTTTTCAGGTTAATACCATACGTGCTGAATATGTTGAAAAGGGTATTTATCATGTTGAAGGAGGTTGGCCAAAAGATGTAAATTTAGAAGATCCCGAGCAGGTAGTAAGATATAAAAAAAAAACAGAAAAGGATGACTTATACATGCAAGCTGTTATGCAAATGTCTAGTGTAAATATGAAAAAAACGAGATAATATTATTGTAAATATGTTCTTTTGCACACATTAACGAGCGCAAAAAAATGTAGTTAAAATATGACGTATTTTAAAATTTTATTTAAGAATTAAAATCAAACTATAAAAATAATTTCCATCTCAGTTCCTGTCATAAAGAATACAGTGATATTCAGGGTGGTCTATGTGTCCTGAATAATCATATAACTTTTAATTTAGTAATTATTTTACACTACTTTTTTTAAAAAAAATGTTATAATATTACTAAATGTATTCTTCATATTAAGTACTTATTCATAAAAGATCATTTTTATGAAAAAAATTGTGCTTATTTTCAATATTTAGTGTGAACAGATTGCGTTCTCTCTTTAATTGTTTTCTCAATAACAAATATTAACGTTTAATATCATATAATAAATATGTAAAATAAATGTAAAAATTCAAATTTTCACAAATTTTAAAATGCTTAAGAATTGATTACAAAACATCGATACGAAATTTTTTAATTGGATTTTCATAAAAAGCATACCAAAAGAAAGCTTATTGTCTTAAAATATTTTATTCTTAAATATTTCAGTATAAATACAATTTTCATTACCTTCAAGTAATATTAACATAGAATCATTTTACTTAAGCTCACTGAACATCTTATCAATCAAAACAATTCAATTGACATATATGAAGCTTACTTCACAAATTTAAATTGCACAACTAATCAATCTCTGAGACCATCTTTTCAAACAATAGCCGTTATGTCTGACACATGTGAGCAAATGAGACCTGTACAGCACTTATCATGGAGCCCTGACCAAGGATCGTTATTAGCTATAAGTTACGCAAATATGGACTTTCAAAAAAAAGATTATATAACCAATCCCGATTCATTAATATTTGATTTAGGTGATTAAAATGTTTATTAGCTAGATTTTGATATCACTAATTTATGTTGATGAATTTATCTGTTTCAATACAATTTTTAGAGGATTCTACCACGCCATATTTTATTGTTGAATCATCATATCCCATTGTGACACTTGAATTTAATTATAGAGATACTCAATGTTTGGCTGGTGGTCTTATGAGTGGACAAGTTGCTTACTGGGATATTCGTAAAAGCTCAGAATGTGTATCAATTAGCAATGTAAAATTTAGTCACCGAGATCCCGTCAGAAGTCTCTATTGGATAAATTCAAAAACTAGCACAGAATTTTACACTGGATCCAGTGATGGACAGGTAAATTATACAGTACTGAAAATTTTGTGGTTTTATACTATCAAGGTAAGATAACGAAATATTAAAAACATTTGCTAATAGTTTGATCTAATCAAAATATACTATGATTTAACTGGTATAATTTTCAATCTTTATAATATAAAGATAATATAATATATTATATTAATAAATATAAATAGAAAAAATGATTTCCTCAATTTCTATTAATAAAGAAAGCGTATAAATCTAATCTATAAAATAGATTATTATTCAAAATCAATCATCCTAATATACAAGATGATCAATTTAGAATAAAATTATTTTTTCAATAAAAATTGAATGTTATATTTTTCAATATTATTAATCTAAAATAAGATTTTTTGTTTAAGAAAAATTAAGTTATGGTATTATCTGTGAAGGAATGAGAAAATATTGCCTACATAATATTGTAAACATTTATTAATTATATAATTTTTCTCATAATGAAAACTTAAAAATTTCCGTATTTTATGGGATAATAAGTGTCTTAGTCAATATTAATCATCAGGTTATATTTATTTATTCTAGGCAGAAATAATTGCATAGAAATCAATTAAAATATTCTAATAAGTTAATTTTTTTACTCACTAGGTCATTTGCCTCAAATAAATTTGTTTAACAAAAAAAATTAAATATTTTTTTTTAGCTTATGTGGTGGGATACTAGAAAACTAATAGAACCTATAGAAGTTTTAACTTTGGACTTATCAAAAAATGAGAACACGGATGAACCAGATTGGTCTAAATGGTCTCGATCACATGGAGTGTCATGTATGGATTATGATCCATCAATTCCAATTAGATTTATGGTAATTTCTGATTAACTTTCAAAATCGATGAAATTAATAAATATAATGTAGATCTTAAAAGAATTTAATGTTTTTATACAATGAGAATATTCTGTTTGAGTAAACTTGAATATTTAAAATTTTAATCTGGTTACTATTTTTATAAAAATGTTCATTCATTCATTCAATTGCACTATATCTATTTTAATATAGGTATAATATAATAATAAATATGTAATATAAATGTTTTTTTTTTTTAGGTAAAGCTGATATTTTAATTTTAGTTATAATTTAATATAAAATATATTTATTATATTTAAAATAAACAAACACATAAGAGTAATATTTAATTTATAGGTTGGTACAGAAACTGGGTTAGTGTTCAATGGTAATCGTAAAGGTAAAACAGTGTTTGAAAAAATATCTGCCACATATAGTTGTCATTCTGGACCGGTTTGTTCAGCTCAAAGAAATCCTATATTTTTGAAAAATTTTCTAACTGTTGGCGACTGGCAGGTTAGAATATGGTCAGAAGACATTAGAGAGTCTCCGATTATGTGGTCAAAGTAAATATTAGTGATGTTATGCTAAAAAAACATTTTTATTATGCACTTATTTTCTTTTTGTAAGGCGACACGAAATTAGATTAACTGATGGGGCTTGGAGTGAAACAAAACCATCAGTTTTTTATACTACAAGAGATGATGGTTGCTTAGATGCTTGGGATATTTTACAAAAACAAAAAGACTCGATATTAACAATTAAGGTAAATCTATAGAAATTATAATATTTGTGATACAATTTTATTTATTTTAGGTAGCTGATAAAGGTTTGAATTGTATTCGATGTCAAGAAGGTGGATCACTTTTAGCTGTTGGTGATAATTTTGGTAAATCTTATGTCATCAAAATGAGTGATTGGTTTGTTACACCTGGAAAAAATGATAAGGCATTATTAACTTCTGTAAGCATAGGTGATAGAATATGTATTTAACATTAAATAAATAGTTGTTTATTCGTTTATCAATTCTATTTACTCTTGTAGATGAAAAAACTTTTTTTTTTGGTAAAATTTAATTTTCATCATATATTTTATCTATTTCTTAACAAACATTTGGGTATGGTTCTGTGTGTGATCGCACCCTTGACATTTTTAATGCCCCACAAAAATAAAACAATGCGCCAAAATATTTAGCCAGTACTCGATAGTCACGTCGTAAAACAAATGTTTGTCATATTTTTTCAATGATATAATTATCCTTATAAATTATTAATGATAACATGCACAATAAGGTTACTAAATAGAATCATTTTAAAAGAATTTAATTCTACGTATACGTTATATATACAGACAACAAATAAGACAGTTTTTCTCATCTTTAAAGAGATCAAAAAAATACATTTAATTACACTCTTTATGTTTAATAATTTTTTAAGTGGTTTAATTTCAATTTAAATCAAATTCTCAATATTTTGATTAAAGTTATTTTAAGTAAAGTAAAACTAAAACTCAAACACCTCATAATCTAAAATTTTAATATTTTGAGTTACTGTATAATTCGTTGTGCGTATCAATGTGGTATACAATCAAAGTTACTATAGAAATTTTTATAAAATCTTGTCTCAAGGTATTAGTTAGTGTTATTCACATCTTGATAATCAGACCCTGCTGTTATCACTAATGTATTTCCATATTAATCATTGTAATGAAATTTCATTTAACTTAGACATGAATTTCATAAATTGTTAAAAAAGGGTGACATTGTAATTAATTACTTTATTTATAATAAAAAAATATGAAATAATTATCAAAAATGAGGTACTGTTGGCCTTAAAGACAAAAATAAATGTTAGCTGCTGCTTCATCGTACAATGAAATTTCTAACTACACGAAAACTAAAAAATTTGATTATGAATTAAAGGTAAATCGAAACGTAAAAAAATAAATAAATTTAAATATTAACGTTACAAATTATAAATTGTATTATAATAAAAAAGTTTAGTGAAGTTAAAAATTGTAATTGAAAAAATATGTACTAATAATATTGATTAGCTAAAAGATGTTGTATGGCTTCGCCAAAATGAAACATCATATATGTTTTGCTAAAATATTAGAATAATCATAAAATATCCAAAACATATAGAATGTGCCCCATTAAAAAAAAATCAATTCTTTTAAAAGAAACTGAAATGTCGTCACTGCTTAGTGTACTCTCTTTTTCGCCACTATTCTTAATGTAGACACAAAACAAATTTCTTAATATCAAGTAATGTATAAGCTGAATATTTGTAAACTTTTAAAACATTTTAGAACTATTTTTAATGTTCTTAATTAATTATTTAGCGTAATAAATATTTTTGCGCCGTTAAATATTTGTTTAAAAAAAGTGAAAAAACATTATTGGTAGACAATTAAATTTTTCACATTTCATGGTTTCCCAATATGTTTTCAATTTTAATACTTGAAAAGATTTTGATAATAATATGTAATTTTTAAAAATTAAAGGTAACATTCATAATTTGAGCTTCAGTGACCACGCGTTAACATTATCAAATTTTACAGAAATTGTTTTAGATAAGTTATAATTTAAAAAAAAACACACTGAAATCGCGACATATTCGGGACAAGTTAAGTTATTATCAAAAGCTTTAATTTTTTTAGGTTAAAAATATTCATATTTTTCAGAAAATACCTAAAAACTAGTAAAAAAAAAAAAAATTGAGTTTAGTTTAAATCTTCAAATGCTTCTGTAACGTTAAAAGATAATAATTCCCTTATGACTTCTTGTTTACGTACTATCTTAGGCGCCGTTTACTCTACCCCAAATATAAGTTTAGAAGTGGAATGCGCTTTTCTCCCCATCAAAATTCGTTCTCGACTCCTAGCTTGTAAATTTCTTACTAAACAGTTATCCTATTCTGCTAAATTCGATATTTCATAATTTTCATTCTCTATGCGCAGTTTGGCGCTACGTATCCCAAAACTCTTCCTTTACTTGCTTCAATTTCTTCGATTTTGACTCCGTACCTTAATATGATAATCACATCTTTAAATCGTTTGTCTATTTATGATGTCTCCTTCCAGGCTCTTATTTATTGCCCATCTATTCACTTTAACCATCACTTTCTTTCTTACTCAAAACTGCAATTACAATCTCTCCCTATTAATTTTGTTAATAATCTATTCAATGAATTCTTATTCTCTAATTTCTCCAATTATTGTCTTATATTTACTGATGGTTTAATAAGCTCTAATTCCGCTAGTTCCTCTTTCTTTATTCCTAGTCTTAATATTAAATTCTCAGATATTCTCCCTTCACAATCTTGTTCTTTTACTACTGAGTGTTATGCCATTTCTTCGGCCCTTGAGCTTATTCAATCCTTCAATATTTCTAATGTTTTAATAATTACTGACTCTTTATCAGTCTTTTCTTCTCTCTCTTCTAATTCATTCAAAAAATCCAGATCTTTTCTTATTATTAAAATAAAAACGTTAATTTATAATATTTTCTTAGCTAATACAAAAATCGAATTTTTATGTTGTCCTAGTCATGTGGGTATTTTTGGTAATGAGGAGGCTGACCATTTAGTCAAACTTACCAAATTCATTACCCGTCGTCCAACCCTCAATATTCCTTCATCCAACTTCGTTTCATCCCTTAATAAGACGATATTTCTAGCATGGCGAGAATATTGGTCTTCTCCTTTCTCTCTCATCGCAGCTTGGCCAAATCAATTTCACCAACTATTCCAAATCATCCTTGGTTCCATAAACTTCCTCTCTCCCGGTTCCATATATTATCCTTTTCTCGACTAAGACTTGGTCATAATCGCCTTCCTTTTCATGCGTACAAAATTTCCCTTAACAATTCTCCTTTCTGCCCCAAACATGACGATGAAGTTCTCTGCGACTTTTCTCATATAATTTTTGACTGCTGTGCATTTGAAAGTAATCGTTCTATTTTATTTAATAATTTATCTCATCTTAATATCTCTTCTATTAATTGTTACACTATTCTTAACTCAACTTCTCTCGATATAATTTCTTTAGTTATTTATTTCATTCATTCAGCTGGTTTTTTTATTTAACGATTTTTATTGTAATTTTGTTGATGTAAGATCAATTGTACTATTTTTTTTATTATTATTTTAGCTTCGATGCGAAGCTGAGAAGGTATTGGTTTTACTAATATGTGTTTTTTTTTTTATTTTTTTTTTTTGTGTCTGTTACCACTTTTTCTCAGCTTTCACTGAACGGATTTCTTTCAACGATACGTCAAAAGATCACAAATCGTATCTAGTCGAAGACATTACCCTTCAAAATTGAAAAAATTTCCCTCATTCCCCGTAAATGGGGAAAACCTCCAAAAAAATTACAAATTAAAAAATTGCTAATTTTCAAAATTTTTTAAATTTTTTTTACTAAAAACTGCCGTAACTTTTTCAAAAATGAACGTATGAATATAATTTTTTTTATATAGATGCTTGATGTCTTTATCTATCATTTGGTATATTTTTTTTTGTAAATCTGACACTTAACCTGCCCACGGGGGGGGATTTAAAATGACAACTTTTTCACAAAAAATTAACTTTTTCAACTTAACTTTTGAAAATGTTCCGGAAGGTCTGACACTTTTATATATATCTTAAATTAAAGCTAATGTAATGTACTTTAATTTGAAAAAAAAAAATTTGACCTCTGGACTTGTCTTCACGGCGAAAATGGCTACCGAATGCTATTTTCGTGTGAAAATTCTCGATTTTATTATTTATATTATATTTAACTTTATAATGCTATAACTTATTGAAAAGTTTATGGATCCACACAATTTTTTTATGAGAAATAATTTTTTTTAATAAACCCTTTTTCCGACATACTTTATCGTAATCGAGATATTAATAAGGAACCAGCAGATCAAGTAGCTTTTGGAATAAAACACCAATTTTTTTAAAATTAAACACTATCTAAAGATTTGCATCGAAGCGTTTATTTTTGATAGTGATTTTAATCACTGTCAGATATCATTATACTTGATCCAACTATACCACGTCACAACTGTGCCGCGACCCCCCTGTGCTGGGGTTTTTTTTTTTCTTTTCTCATTTTATTTAATTGTTAAGCTATAATAATACTTTGTATTGAAAGCTAATAAAAAGAAAAAAAAACGTCATAATTATGTGTTGTTTAATTGTTTGATAACGTTAAACTCAATTATTATGTTTTATAAGAAAACATGATATAAATTGTATATAGCATTATATAAAAACGTTTAATGATAAAATTGTTAATCCAACTCCTGTTTTTTATGTTCTCCAAAGAACATTATATTCATAATTACATATTTTATTATAATTTATTTGTATAATTAGTACTTTCGTAATTTTTAATCTTAATAGATGTTTGATAGAGAAACTAGACGAGAAAAAATCATAGAAGCTAAACAGCGAGAACTAAAATTAAAAACAAAATCAACTAAATGTGATGTTACCTTAACTAAAGATAAGCAAATTCAAATAGCTGAAAATGAAGCTAGGATGATAACCGAAGCTGAAAAAGAGTTTTTTGAACTTGTCATAAATGTAAGTTATCTTAAAGATTTTAAAAGAACAATTAGTTATTAGTGATATTATTTCATTCAAAAAATTATTTCCTTTTATTACACACAAAATCATACGAGCTTTTATAAATTAAATAATAGTTTTATTTACTTTTCTAAATGAAATATTGTTAATAAAAATAATAATTTTCATTTAGTATGCATTTCATTAAAAATTAAAATTAATGCAATTTTTTTTCGAAACAGATATTTAAAATTTAAATAAGGAATATTTGTAATTTATTAATTGGTCAATATTAAGTATTTTGTACGTTTTAACTATAATTTTTCATCAAAATATTTTAGTGATTTTATTTTAGTCTTCATAACTTTTTTAGGGAGAAAATGGTTTTAATATAGATGAAAACAATGACCAAGAAGAAATAAATATAAACGGTAATAACTCACAATAATTTTTTTTGTAACTAAATGCACTCAAATAATCATCAAAAACTTTTTAATACTGTGATTTCTTTTATTTTCAACGGAGGATTTTTGTTTCTAAAGTAGTTATTTTAGTTATAAGATGCATAGAAAATATGTATTTAAAAATTTCTACAACAGATAAAACTCTTGTATCGGCATTATTTAGAAAAACTGGAAGTATAATAACAAAATTAATTACAATATACTTATCTTTAAAAGCAAGTAATAAATTGTATACCATTCGTTCTTCACACCTTTATAAAATTAGAGAATACCAGTTTTATACTAATTCCTTTAGCTGGCTTTTATAATTTAATTAATATTAGAAACTAACAACAAAATTAAAAAAAAAATGAATTTTTTTTATATATTTATATATATAATTAAAATTTTGTTGTCATACGACTTTTGTATATTACTGTTAATGTGTAAAATTATTAACTTTTAATATGTAAACAAAATATGAGTAAAAATTACGAAATTATGTTAATTTCAATAATTTTAGCATTATTGTTTGATTTATATGATACCTATAATCTATCGTTTGACTATGGAGCCGAACTAAAGGAAATGGTCCTACAATCAAATGCAATATTATCAAACACTTTAGATTTTAATCATTCTTATAGTACACATGAAGTTAATTGCTTAAAAGGTCAAAATTCAAATAATAATAATAGTAGTAGCACGCCAATTATACCAAAAAAAAAGAAAAAAAGAAAATCAAAGTTCTTTAGAAAAAGCGTAGCTAGTATTAATAAAAGAAAACCACGTAAAGTTCCAGAAGAGACTAAAAATGGAATAATTGCAGCCGTTCGGAAGGTATTAAAATTTGATTGGCCGTGGTTGTCAGACGTAAAATCATGTCAAACCAGCAATGAAAATAACAACACTTCCAATATGACTAATTTTCTATCAAATTTACGCAAAAAAATTAGTAATCACACAAGAATTGAGTGGACACCTGATAGACTGGTTGGCCCAATTCATGAAGCTTTAAATGTCTGTCGAAAAAATAATATAGATGATAATGAGTGTGCTAAAATAATAGCAAACTCTATGAGTGAAATCATGAACAACAGTAGTGGGAAGTGGTCAATTAGTGGATGGCGAACAACAACTTCAAAAAATCAGCCAGCTATAATGAATGTACAATACATGTTCGTATATAACAACGGTTCGATCATAATTAATGACAATCAGATTGATACAATTGTTACAAAAGTTTTAAAAGCTCTTCTAGATCAAAAATTAGAAAACAAATCTACCGCCGGACCAACAAGTACAAAAGAATTTGATGTTGATTATATATACCATGATTGAATAATTATGTTTTTCATTAAAAACATTAAAAAATACTAAATATGGTCTCTTGGACTATTAATTTTATTTTGATAAAAGATTTACAGTTCTTCATAAAGAATTAGAATTTGAATTATTTCATTATATTTTTACGAATAATTATTTTTATCAGTGTATTTTTCAATATTTTAAATGTTCATTTTTTTGTGAAATTTACATCAATAAACATTTTCATCTTTCTTAAATGGATTATTATTTATCAAATTGAAAACAATTTTTATTAGACCATAACCTTATATCAAACTTTTCATTTGATGTTAAGTATTTTTGATCAGTATTTAAGTCTCCTAATTTAGTTTATATTCTTTTTAACCATTTTTCAAAAATGAAATAAATATCGCGCTTATAGCTAGCAAAATCTCTTTAATAAGGCCTATTAAAGTTTTAAATGGGTATTTTTAAAAATGCTTTTTTTTAATGAGTCATTATTTGATTAATAGCTTTATTTTCATTAATTAGCGATCATCTCAAAAACTGAAACCAATCTGAAAATCCTAAGGGGAGATTCAGAATCAGAGTAAAATTCCTTTCAGAATTTACTATCATATCATATATTTATAAATCATAGAACTAGAAATCAGAATACAATTAAGGAAAGATGTTGATGGTACTTTTGGGATAATGCAAAAATACCATCCAATAATTAAACATATGAAACAGACACATAAAAATGAAATTGATTCAAAAGTAAATAAATAAACACATAATAGTAAAATATACCTTCTCAGCTTTGGATCTAAGTTAAAATATAAAGCAATAAGAGTGTATGTAAAATTAGAAGTTTTTAACATTATGAAATGGTAATATTTTTAAATTGAATAGTTATCGTTGATGTACAATAAAATTCTCTATTTCTACATTTATTTCATATCTTGACTTATTTTTGTTAAAATTGTCACTTGCCTCTTTAGTGAGTCATACTTTTGTTATAATACTATTATTTTGATAATATTGATTGAAACTATATTAGCTTCGATGCGAAGCGGAGAAGGTATTAATTTTACTATGATGTGTTTTTTTTTTTTTTTTTTTTTTTTTTTTTATGTCTGTTGCCACTTTTTCTCAGCTCTCACTGGACCGATTTCTTTCAAAAATACGTCAAAAGATCACAAATCGTATCTAGTTGAAGACATTACCCTTAAAAATTGAAAAAAATTCCCTCGTTCCCCGCAAATGGGGGAAATATCCAAAAAAATTACAAATTTAAAAATCGCTAATTTTCGAAATTTTTTCACTTTTTTTTCTTAAAACTTCCATAACTTTTTGAAAAATCAACAAATCAACATAATTTTTTTTTATACTAAAACCTTAGATATTTACCTTTCATTTGATATCATTTTTTTGAAAATCTATCACTTAACCTGCTCATTGGGGGGGATTTAAAATGGCAACTTTTTTACAAAAATTAATTTTTTCAACTTAATTTTTGAAAATGTTCCGGAAAGACTGCGTCCTTTAAACATATATCAAATTAAAGCTTATTTTATGTACTACAAAATGAAAAAAAAAAATTTGTCCCGACACTTTTTTTTCTACATTTAAACGGCTGCCGTAGTTAAAAAAACACTATTTTTGTGTTAAAATTTTCGATTTTCGATTTTAAATTTTCAACTTAAAAATGCTATAACTTTTTGAAAAATGTATATATCAGCACAAATTTTTTTTTTCTAAATACATTATAAGTACATCTTTCATTTGACATACTTTTTATTAAAATTGGACAATTTCCCCTTATATAGGGGGCGTTCAAAACTTAAAATATTGTAAAAAACATAGATCTTTTTCAACTGAACTTTTGAAAATGTTCCGGAAATACTGCGTCCTTTAAACATATATCAAATCAAAGGTTATGTTATATACTATCAAATGAAAAAAAAAAATTTGTCCCGACATCTTATCTTCTATGTGCAAATGGCTGTCGAAAATTTAAAAAAAAATGTAATGTTTGCGATAAAAATTACATTTTATCGGGATGTTTTTTGTACTTAAAACTGCCATAACTTTTTCAAAAATGAACAAATAAAAATAATATTTTTTTGTATTGAAACCTTAGATATTTCCCTTTCATTTGATATAATTTTTTTTGAAAATCTAACACTTATTCTGCTCACTGGGAGGATTTAAAATAGTAACTTTTTTACAAAAAATAACTTTTTCAACTTAATTTTTGAAAATGTTCCGGAAATACTGCGTCCTTTAAACATATATAAAATTAAAGCTTATTTTATGTACTACAAAATGAAAAAAAAAAATTTGTCCCGACGATCTATCTTCTATACGCAAATGGCTACCATATTGAAAAATATACTATTTTTGTATGATAATTATGGGTTTTGTATTTTATTTTAATAGAAGTTGATGTTGCTTTTGCAATTATCCATCAATTTTTTAAAATTAAACACTATCTACAGATTTGCATCGAAGCGTTTCTTATGATAGTGATTTTAATCACTGTCAGATTAAATCTATACTGGACCCTACTATGCAATGTCTCCACTATGCCGCGACCTCACTGTGCTACCGTTTTTTTATATACTAATAATATTTTACGAATAATCAAATAAACAATTGTAAAGCAACTGTGTCATTTACAACATAATTAGAAAAAAATTGTCAGTATGTCATTATATGTTTATAATTATTATTTTGTTATATATTATATAGAAAAATAAAATAAAATAAATTTAATTATAGAAATATGATCACATAGTACGAAACAATATTTATATTATAAATAAAATATGATTATACTGTATAAAATGATGAATATTTTATTTCTTGGATGTTTAGTTCCTCAAATTGTCGCTTAGGTCAATTTCTTAAAAATAATAAATGACAAAACATCGTTTATATCTTTGTAATTTTTTTAATAAGTATACTTTATTTAATTACAATGCCTAAAAAATTATTTTTAACTACATTTGCTGTCTTCTTTAATCATATGTTTGACTAAATCCAATACTCTACAAGCATATCCTACTTCGTTATCATACCAAGCTCCAATACTAATAAATTTGTCAATAATAATGATTTGATTGAAATCTACAACTGCTGAATACTGTGTCCCAATGAAGTCTGAACTTACACACTTATCTTCGTGATAGTAAACAACATCTTTCATGCATGACTGTGCTTGTGTTTGAATTTCTCTCTTTACATCATCTATACTTACAGTTTGTTTGACACTGTAAATGAAATCATTTTTATTTGTTGCAATACTATTCAAGCTCACTTTAGAATTTATTTTACAATTAAACTCCACCAAAAAAAGTTGATACATCAATTTTAAACAATTTTTCAAAAGAGCAAAAATAAATTGAAAATTTCAATTATTATAGATTTCACATTAAATTACTCCCCTATTATTCCAATTAGGGATATCATAACTAGTGTTAAAAATATTTTTTACTTGACAAATAATTTCAAAAGAGACACATCCAAAGTCGGCACTCTTGCTGCATCGCCATTGATTTTCTCTTTTAAGTCCGGTAGAACAAGCGCTACAGCTTTTGCTGCTCCAGTAGTGCTAGATAAGATATTAAATGGACCCGATCTCTACAAATTATAACATATGATAACACATTTAAGTTTAATTAATTAGTATTAAATGAATTACTTTCGTTAAACCATCATGTACAGCTTGAGTAGCGGTCATTGAATGTATGGTTGTAAGCAAACCACTTTCAATCCCAAATTTATTGTGTAAAATTTTAGCTATGGGAGCAGCACAATTAGTAGTACATGAAGCATTAGAAACAACTTCCATAGTATTTTTATATTCGTCAAAGTTTACTCCTTTAACAAATGTTGGAGAATCAGGACTTGGTGCAGTAATAATTACCTTTTTTGCTCCAGCAACAATATGTTTCTATATATTGAATAACAATAAAAAAATACTTGAATAATTTTAACAAACTTCATCTACCTTAGCGTCTTCAAATTTGGTGAATACTCCCGAAGATTCAAGTACATAATTTACTGAAGCATCTTTCCATTTAATATTTTCAGGCTTGTCTTCGTGAAAAACTTTAATAGATTTACCTAAGCAGCATTATAAATCTAAGTTTCGAATGAAGTAAGACAGTATAAAATAAATAAATTATTTACCATTTACTACGATACAATTTTCTTTTACATCTACCTGGCCATCAAATGCTCCATGAACAGTGTCGTACTTTAAAGAGTTAGCTATTTGTTTTATATTAACAAAAGGTTGATTTATCGCTACCACCTTCATATGTTAAAATAAAGTGTTTTTCAAAATATATAATCATATTGGTCAATGTATAAATTATTAAATATAATACTGATTGAATTTTACTTTTTTAATTACAGGACTATGATTAGTATATTTTTCGCAAAAGAAAATGTTTCTGTATTACATCAAATTATCAAAAATTTCTGGCTACCATAAAATTTAATAGTATTGCGGAGATATAGCTTTGTAGCGGCATAACTAGGGTTTTCTTATGAAGGGGAGGAATAAACATAAAAACAAATTATACTACTTTTATAGATGAAAAATTTTTTTTATTTTTACCATGTAATTACTTTGATCAAAAAAGGAAATACGACACCCATATTTCCGTAATTAGATTAATGTCAAAAGACCATGACTCTCTTCACTGACAATAATAATTGACAATAAAAATAGAAAAATCTTACGTTAATGTCTTTTGAACTTGCTAAACGTAAAAGATTCTTGCCTATACGACCAAAACCGTTTATTGCTATAGCTGGACATGATGACCCATGCCTAATACATGTGTGCAAATGTGTTCTGGAAATTAAGAATGATGCATTTTTCATTATACTAAACGTAGTCATTATTTAAAATTATGAAATTAGATTGTATGTGTAGTATTACGTATTGTTTTAAAATAAATAACATTGTCAAAGTAACAAAAAACTTTATAAAATTATTTCCATCTAAGAAATAATAATGAATGTAGGTTTTTTTAATTTTTAAGCCAATTTGACTGCATAGTATTTAAAAAGCAGTTTATTTTGTATAATGAAATTAATTTATATGATTCATATTCCTACACAAAAAAATTCAATGTCCTATTCATTAAATATAATTATAGTGTACAAATTTTCAAATATTAACATTTTGTCACTAAATATTTAGGTAGATATAAGGAAATTTAAACTTTATTTATATTGTTTTTATTTTTTAATAAGTTTATTGAAAACAATTTTTTTTTAGATCAAGATTAAGCTGACACTGATTGTCTATACTATCTGTATTTAAGCTTAGTAATTACTAAGTAACATATTCAAATATATTACATTTTTACATCATGTTTTACTAACTTAACAGAATTATTCATTAATTACGGATAGAATTACCTGGATTTATGTATTAGTTTTACAAGTTACGTGGACTATCGAGTAACGATCATATACGATTGTTATGTCACCGACTTAAAACACCTCTTTGCCGGGGCATCCAGTATTTTCACCTTTTTATGGATACGACTTATTAACTTAATTAAAAAGGAAGCAATTAATAACACTATTCTTCTAGTAAAGGAAAAACAAACGTTAATTTATTGATAATTAATCACAATCTTAACTATAATTAATATGACAAATGTTAATACACAAATAATATTGTGTGGTTAATATGCAACCTGGCTATGGTCCTTTTGTATTCCGTCCTTACAAAAAGAAAAGAAACATTCTCCTGAAGTTAATCAGCTGATAGACACCCAACAATTTCTCCTTATAACAAAACCGCCATCACAGGCTCTCAAAACCGAGACATACTACCACCTGTTATAGGACCGCTTTAGCATAAGCACCAGATTGGCTCGCCGGTCACGATGACGCGCCAACCGATGCTATGCAAGTGGCACTGCACTTGATCGTCAACAAACAACGATTGTGTTAATTATAAAATATTATCTACAAATTTATTAGTTGAAATGCACATAGTTATAAAAATAAAAAAAAGATCAAAGAACATTATGTTGATAAATTATATTCAAGTTCAACAACATTTTTATAGTAGAAAGTTAATAACTTAAAGTTCAATAATTGAGTAAAATTATCATTATGGTAAATTATTCAGCGCATCTAAATCAAAACAAAATTATTTTACCAGCACAATATTTATCACATATTTTTTATAGTAGTCTAAAACTTTCAAGTTTACCACTCCATAATTTACTACTCATCTAAGCTCATGGTACCTAATTCTGATTGTCTAAAATATTTCTGTTGCCAAATTGTTTAGTTTGTTTTTCATGAAACAATACTAATAAAACGTATATACTATCAATATGTTTCTGGCTATAATATCTCCTATATATATATATATATATATAACAATTTCCTGCTTTAAAATTATTAGTTTGATTCTTTAACTGATGTTAAGTTAACGGTTTGTAAATATTTTGTCTGCCCTATATGCATTTTAAAGTATGGAAGCTCAAAGTCAGCCCATATCTTCACTTAATCCATTGGTAGATGAGGTTGAAAATATATCCCAACAAATTCGAAAAGATTTGGAATGTCCAGTGTGCATGGAATTAGCTTCTAAAATTCATTGTTGTTGTGTTAACGGACATATAGTATGCGAGAGTTGTCTTTTACGACTTTGGCAATTTAGTGATTTTCCAGCTTGCCCAATGTGCCGATCAGTATTGTCAACAGCAGTCTTTAAGTCGGCTTTCGTACTAGCCATTACAAACCTTATGAATTCTTTCAAAATCACTTGCAGCAATAGAGCTCACGGTTGTCTGGAACTTGTTAGTATAGCAAGTATTAATGAACATGAATCATCATGTACGTATGTCCCTGATGTTAAATGCTTTGTGTCTACATGTCAATGGTCCGGTATATACGCGCAAATCTTTAACCATGTAAAATCCGTCCACCCTACTTCAGCTGTGTCTGTTCAGGTGACCAAAATAAAATCATATAAAAACTTAGAATAAATAAAATTTTAAGAAAATTTAATTCAAATACCATAACGTTATTTAAATTTACATAAGAAAGAAACGTATCACCATTTGTAAACTATTTTTTATTAAACGTAGAAAAACTCGTGGACAATTTGTAACATTTATGGCATCATTAACCGCATACAAAGAAAAGTTTACCTTATAAGAGATAAACGAGACGGAAGTATGTTCTGGATAATATTTCATCGTGGCACACGTAAAAATGTACGCATGGTTGTAATGATGATAAAAAATTCAGCTAAACATTTTTCAACAAGACCACATATGGTTTACCAAGTTAAGCTATATAATTCAGAAACTACACCATATGGCTTTTTTGGAAAGAACAGATTAATTGTGTGGGACAAGGATGTAGCTGGAAATAGAAGCCAAGTCTTTGCTGTAAATTCTACGTTTTCTATAAGACATCCATTTTCCAGCAGGTCATTAATCATATCATGGAATCGTAAATGAATCATTGAATTGAAATAATATTTATTACCTATCGGTGTATAATTATTTAAAATTGAATCAGTCAGAATTCGTAACTACTGCAAAAAAATTATACTTTTTTAGATTATATATTTATAGTATATGTATGTACCAGAATGATCTTTACATATGTAAAATTTTAGCATTTTGTATTTCACATTTTTTCAAGTAATATGTATTTATATATATCTATATATATTAATGATAATAGTTAAAAAAATTAAAACATAAAAACGCTTCTCTTCACTTCAACAAACCACACTTTTTTTTATATACTCATCAATGTCACAGTTCATTTGCACAAATGATCCTAAATACTTAAAACTTCCCACTTCTCCTATTAACACTATTTCATTAGCGAAAAACATGCTCAAGGTACCTCCTCTTGTATTTTTCTAATAATTTCTTAAACTATAGAAAGTAATTAAGAGCTTAAAGCAGATCCTTGGTGACACTTACCTTAAAATCTTCTGTCATTCCGCCCACCTTTTTACCATGGTGCACCAACCATATATTAATATATCTTTTCGGTACTACTTTTCTCATAAATTCTCACTTTAAAACCTCTCTCGGTATCATAAGCTTTCTCTAAATCTATAAATACCATACACAGCTTTTTTTTCATCTCCCTAAACTTTTCTATTAGTTGCCTCACATAAAATAATGGCTCCATTGTAGACTTACCATGCATAAATCTGATTACTGATTCAACAGATTTTTAGATACTGTCATAAAAAAAAAGAAATAAGTATGAAGAATGTGTAAGCGTTAAATAATTGACTATATGTGTGATATTTATATTTTGTCATAAAAAAAAGAAGTATAGAAAGTTAATGTTTTTGTATATTGGGATGATGAAATGCAAGAAATAATTTTTTGACATAAAAAACGATGAGAGGATAACTAAATTGAATATGAATATAGAAATAGAGTATAAATATTATGTTAATCAGAGTTTTGAAATTCGTTTAGCTTCAAAATGAAAATAAGAGCATACGGCATATAATCATGAATTCTTTGTTATGATACAATGACCACTCATATTTTGTCGTAAAATATAGATCGCAAGAAAATCACTTCTGTATGACACACACCTGAGTCATATTAATTCTACAATGAAACGTGCAACGATTATGGAGAAGAATTTTACGACTCTTAATATTTAGTGGTTGTGTTATAGAAATAATAAACTGTGTGTGTTTACGTAAATTGCAACTGTCCAGTTGTTGGGCGGCAAGCCTTAATGGCTAAATTGTTTTTTTTTATATAAGTGTTAAATATAAATTAAATATTTACGTTGAACGCAAGCTGTTGCGTCCTGAATGGTGACTAAGTAGCTATTAATAATGACTTCAATAAACTATCAATATTTTATGAAATTGTGTATTTTATATGAGAGTCGACAGAGTTAGAAACAGGCTGGCTGCACCATCGGAGATTATACTCGTCGATGCACGGACCTTACAGAGTCAAAAACTGCTTGCCGAAAAGAACGTAATGGAATATGAGAATCAATCCCTAGTGACACGTCACAAACTATTATTTTACCAATAATTTGAACCGCTAGATGTGCTAGGGTAATGATCGCAACCAACCATCAGTATCTTGTGCAATCAATCAAACACGTATCTATTCAAATTTAAAATACATTCTACGATCTCCTTAGTGACACGTCACAAACTATTGTATTGCAATAGTTTCAACCGCTAGATGTGCTAAGGTAGATTTTCGAAATGCACTTATTAAATAGACACTCTAATTGAATAATTAAAAAAATTCTTAATTGGAACAACTCGCAAAATACAAAATAAAAAAAAACGGTAGCACAGTGGGGTAGCGGCATAGTGGAGACATTGCATAGTAGGGTCCAGTATAGATTTAATCTGACAGTGATTAAAATCACTATCATAAGAAACGCTTCGATGCAAATCTGTAGATAGTGTTTAATTTTAAAAAATTGATGGATAATTGCAAAAGCAACATCAACTTCTATTAAAATAAAATACAAAACCCATAATTATCATACAAAAATAGTATATTTTTCAATATGGTAGCCATTTGCGTATAGAAGATAGATCGTCGGGACAAATTTTTTTTTTTCATTTTGTAGTACATAAAATAAGCTTTAATTTGATATATGTTTAAAGGACGCAGTATTTCCGGAACATTTTCAAAAATTAAGTTGAAAAAGTTAGTTTTTGTAAAAAAGTTGCCATTTTAAATCCCCCCCAATGAGCAGGTTAAGTGTTAGATTTTCAAAAAAATGATATCAAATGAAAGGTAAATATTTAAGGTTGTAGTATAAAAAAAAATTATGTTGATTTGTTGATTTTTCAAAAAGTTATGGAAGTTTTAAGAAAAAAAAGTGAAAAAATTTCGAAAATTAGCGATTTTTAAATTTGTAATTTTTTTGGAT